ATTGAACATACTCTTTACTTGAAAAGGACTTGATAATTTATTATGTATTTTACAGAATGCCGTAAGTATCTGATAACACATCCTTTAGGGGTGTCAAAGAATTATTGCCCTGGAGAGAATCATGACCAAATAACCACTGAGGTGCCTTCTCAACCTGTGATTTTATGGATATGAACTCCTTGCATTAGAACAGATGTAGATATAATAGATTTCTGGAAGCCGAGTCACTGATACTTTATGAAACTTAATTATATATTCTAGAGAAGGAAAAATAAAAATTTAAATGTGGTTAAAAATATATGAATAAGGTGGCATTTAAAATATAACATTGTCATATTCTGTTAAAATTATAATAATGTCTCAGCAAGTTACAAATTTAGCTATTATCTTATCCTATTCCTGCTATTACATCAGAATACCACATATTTGAAAATTTATAAAGAAAAAATACTTCTCAATGTTCTGGAGGAAGTCTAAATAAAATAAAGTCACCAGCATGGTGTCTAGCAAGAACTACTCTCTGTTTCCAAGATAAAGCCCTTTTCAAAAAGATTTATTTTAACTATTTTTAAGTATGTTTATGTATGTTGGTCTGTATATGGATACGTGCAGTGGATAATCAGTGCCCTCAGAGCAGTGTTGGGAATCAAATGTGGGTCATTTCCAAGAGTAATGTGTGCTCTTGATCATAAGCTGTTTCTCCAGCTTAACCTTCTTACTGTGATGCTTAAATGGATGCTAAGGAGATAAAAGGGAAGGCTTATCTATTTCCTTTTATCCCATTTTTTAGATTTGTTTACTCAGGACTTCATCATCTGTTCAAGAACAACCTCTTAATATAGCTACACTGATAATTAAGTTTCAATATATGAATTTGAGGGAGAAGTATTCAGACCATTACAGCTATGGTTTTGTGATGGTTTGTGTTGAATGTCAAAAAAATTCAGAATTTCTTAGGAGAAAAAAACATGATGTTATAGTGAAGGCATTTCCAGAGATGTTAACTGAAGTAGGAAGACCCACCCTGAATGTCAGTAACAACTTCCTATGTGCTGAGGTTCTCTCTCTCTCTCTCTCTCTCTCTCTCTCCTTTCTTTTTCTCCTCTTTCTCCTTCTCCTTCTTCTTCCTTACTGTAGATACAATGTGGCCAAGCACCTTCAGATGTTCACACCTTCAAGCTCTGAGTCAAAATAAAGCTTTCCTTCCTTAAACTAATTTTAGCAGGTATTTTGTTACAGTAACAAGAAAAGTAACTAATACAGAAAATTAGTGCAAAGCAATGGGGCTGTTGCAGTGCTAAATTGACCATGTGGTTCTCAGGCTTCCAGAAATGGTTTGTAGAAGAAATGTGGAAGAGTTTGAAGTGGTAACTGAGAAACTCCATGACACTCATGTAGAGGTCAAAGAACAGCTGTGTAGTCAGTTCTGACTTTACCTTCACGTGGTTCCAGGCATTGGACTCAGATTGTCAGGCTTGTGCACTATGCACTTGTACACACTAAGACATCTTACCAGCCCAAAAGGTTCATCATCTAATTTTATATACTATGTCGATTTGGGGTTAATTTGGTGTAAAACAAGTGTGCCATAAATAATCTCTATATAAATCTATTTAGGTTATCTTCTAATACATTAGACCTGAAAGAAGGAGAGATAGAAAACAGGAAATACAAACTTATTTACCAATGTGCTACACAGACATTATAGAAATCTACCCACCTCTTTGTGGTTTTACCAAAGTGATGCTGGTCAAAAGAAATCGGAAATTTGCCTTCCATCACTCATTATGTAGGATCAGCTAAAATTTGGTTAAAATTATCTATTATCTCCTACTTGGCTTCTTAATTTAAGTGATAACTTTTTCTTAATATTATTTATACTTTCAAAAATATTTTAAACAATTTAATATTAGAGATACATATACAGTGAGACTAATAAAAATTTTAAGCTGGGATGATCTCTAAGTCACCCACATAATAGAAGGAAAGAACCTATCCCTGCAAAGTTTCTCTGACTTCCATTGTAAAACATGTGTGTGCACAAACACACACAATACACAAAACATAAATAAATGTTTAAAAATTAATAAAATAAAAAGATGTTTAAAATTGTAGGAGGAATTATATGAAAATCTCAAGTCTTTTTTTACAGTTAAGCATAAGGCAAGAGCTTCTCTCTCTTTCTCTCTCTTTTTTGTTTTATTCTGTTTTACTGAGACATGGTTTCTCTGTGTAGCCTTGGCTGTCTAGGACTTGCTTTGTAGAGCAGGCTGGCCTCAAACGCACAGCGACCTGCCTGCCTCTGCCTTCCAACGTGCTGGGACTACAGGTGTGCACCACTTCGCCAGGCGGCAGAAGCTTCTTAACCAAAGCAGAAATAGAAACATTCTGTGATTGTGTCTGTCTACTTTAAATTGCAACCAAAGGGCTCTCCAGATCTGAAGATTTTTTTCTTCTTTTCTAATATTTCTTCTAGTACTTTTCTTCTTTTCTTAGTCTTGTATGTCTTTGCTTTGTTTTATGTGGGTTTTGTTTGTTTCTTTTATTTTGTGTTTGAGGTAGAATTTTGCCCCATAGCCAAGACTGACTTGGGAAGCTTTCCCAATGCAGTTCTCACAAATGTGCAGTTTCACACCTGGCTAGCTAATACTTTTAACATAGGAATACAGACCTATATAGTGAGTAATATTTTCAACAATATTTATGAAGGACATACAAAGTTATTAATGATAACAGCATTTGTTTATTATGGACCAGGAATATAGCAATATAATGTTAAAATAAATCTTAACACATACTATGAATATAATACTCAAACTATAGTGCAGTTGAGACCAGAATACTGTTTTCCTAATACTTAATTCAACAATTTTCCAATTATGCTACCCAACGATGATCATATAGAGTTGAGATTTTAACACATATGCATGTCTACATAAAGCCACATCTCAGACACAACACCTAAGTATATGTACCTTTTGCCAGTAGCAATAATGCTATGGAAACAAGACTAATCATTTTATTGAATAAATATTATATTATTATGGTGTTACATTCATACAGCATCTATCAAACTAAGGACTTACCAAACTTTGTTTACCCTTATTTTGGTTAATTTTGATTATTAACCTAACTGGATTAAAACACCTAGTGCAGTTAGTGAAGCACATGTCTCTCTGTGAAAGGATGTCTAAAGACAATTAGATCCTAAAGACAACTCTTTTTTATTTTTATTTTTATTTTTTTTTACAATTTATTCATTATATATCCCAATTGAAGCCCTCTCTCTCTCAACTCCTTCCAGTCCCTCCCTCCTTCCTTCCTCCCCCCATCTCCTTCCCCTAGTCCACTGAAAGGGGGAGTTCTTCTCCCCTACCATCTACCCATAGCTTGTCAAGTCTCATCGGGACTGCTTGGATCCTCTTCCTCTGTGGACTAGTAAAGCCACATCAAGAGCAAATGATCAAAGAGCAGGCAGCTCCTGCTCCCCTTACTTCAGAAACACATGGAGACTGAGCTGCCAATCGGCTACATCTGAGCAGGGGGTCTAGTTCCTCTCCATGCATGCCCCTTGGTTGGTGCATCAGTCTCTATAGGACCCCCTGGGCTCAGATTTTTAGCTTTGTTGGTCTCCTTGTGGGGTTCCTGTCACCTCCAGGTCCTTCTGTCTCCCCCCCCCACACACACACACTCACACCTTCTTTCATAAGACTCCCTGTGCTCTGCCCAAAATTTTGCTGTGAGTCTCTGCATCTGCTTTGATCTCCTAGGTAGAGCCTTTCAGAGGACATCTATGGTAGATGTCCCATCCTGTTTCTTCTCTTCCATTGCTTCTGGTGTCTAACCTGTTTGCCATTCAGAATGAGATTTAAGCATCCTCCCTAGGGTCCTCCTTAGTGTTTAGCTTCTTTAGGTCTGCAGATTTTAGTATGGCTATCCTATATTATATGACTAATATCCACTTATAAGTGACTGTATAACATGCCTGTCTTTCTGTTTCTGGGTTACCTCTCTCAAAATGATCTTTTCTAGTTCCATCCATTTGCCTGCAAATTTCATATCTTTGTTTTTAATAGTTGAATAGTATTCCATTATGTAAATGTGCCACAATTTCTGTATTTATTCCTTTGTTGAGGGACATCCAGGTTGTTTTCAGATTCTGGATGTTACAAATAAAGCTGCTATGAACATAGTTGAACAAATGTCCTTGTTGAATGGTAGGGAATCTTTTGGGTATATGCACAGGAGTGGTATTGCTGGATCTTGAGGTAGTGTTATTCGCATTTTTTTTTTGAGAAAGGGCCAGATTGATTTCCAAAGTGGTTGTACAAGTTTGCACTCCCATGAGTGCAATGGAGAAGGGTTCCCCTTTCTCCACATCCTCTCCAGCATGTGCTGTCACTTGAGATTTTTATCTTAGCCATTCTGATCTGTGTAATCTCAGAGTTATTTTGATTTGCATTTCCCTGATGACTAAGGGAGTTGAGCATTTCTTTAAATGTTTATCTGCCATTCAGTATTCCTCTGTTGTGAATTCTCTGCTTAGTTCTGAACCCAATTTTTAAATTGGATTATTGGTGTCTAATTTCTTGAGTTCTTTATATATTCTGGATAGTAGTCCTCTATTGGATATAGGGTTAGTGAAGATCTTTTCCTAGTCTATAGGCTGTTGTTTTGTTCTGTTGACAGTTCTTTGCTTCACAGAAGCTTTTCAGTTTCACGAGGTCTCATTTATTAATTGTTGATCTTAGAGCCTGAGCTGTTGATAGCATCTTCAACAAATGGTGCTCATCTAACTGGACGGCCACATGTAGAAAAATGCAAATAGACCCATATCCATCACCCTGTACAAAATTAAAATTCAAGTGGATCAAAGACCTCAACATAAAACCAGCCACACTAAATCTGTTAGAAGAAAAAGTGGGAAAGAGCCTCAAACTCATTGGCACAGGAGACAACTTCCTGAAAAGACAAATCTTAAAAGGAATTGGTTTGTTTACCTCTTTCAGTTCCTGTGCAACAGCTGAGAGCCTCTCATTTTCTGCCTGGACGTTTGTGACCACAGCCCGGTTCTGCTTCAGTTCATTCTGCATCTCCAGGATCTTGTTTAGATAGTAAGCTTCCTTGGATGCAGACTCCTGCAGAAGTGTTTCCTCCCGAGTCTCTCCATCCTCAGCCACTTTACGGTGGATAGAAAAGGACTGCCCAAATGCCTGCAGAGAATTTGTCAAAAGAAAGAATGCACAATGAAAAACACTTCGAGGTTACTGAATAGACTTAGGCAAAGGTTTTATTTGGTTTTGTGTATTAAAAAAAAGCTGCTCGGAAATACTGCTAGATGAAAAAAAAAGAGTAAATGAATATACATGCACAAATGTGTAACAGTCTATCATTTCTAATGCTTCCAATAATTCATACCCAGTCTGGGAGGTGCTGAGGATTGACTCAGGCCTTCACTTATGCTAAGTACATGTTAAATCCCTAAGCTATACCTTCAGCCTCTTCAGATACAATCATAAGGGTAAATAAAATTTTTAAATATCTTTTTAAAAATGTATGCATCAAAGAAAACCTAAAAACATTGCTAGGTGCTTTATGGTACAAATTGTTAAAAGAACCCATCCAATTTAGTGTTGTTCTCTTTCTAGGAAAACATCCACAAATATTTTCCAAGAAAGAAAATAATAATCACATCATTCTTTAGTACGTTGGTAATAATGCCAGACCAATTATGGACGATATCCTTAAGAGGAGAAAAATTTAAAACACCAATCACAGGGGCTGGAGAGATGGCTCAGTGGTTAAGAGCACTGTCTGCTCTTTCAAAGGACCCGGGTTCATATACCAGCACTCACATAGCCACTCATAACTATCTGTAACTCCAGTTCCAGGGATCTGACACCTTCATACTAATGCACATAAAATTAAGTAAAAAAACACCAATCAGCATTCAGATTTCCCACTATCACAAAAGACATGAAAATGTCATCTCTATATAATAAACATTTGTTTATTTGTCAAAGCAATTACAGAAAAAAAATAAATCAAATTAACAAACTCGAAAACCAGACACCAGGAGAGGGTATCAGAACTGCTCCCTGGAGCTGGAGTACAGACGGTTGTGAGCTGCTCAACTTTGGTGCTTTAAACTAAATTTGGGTTCTCTAGAAAAACAGCAATGAAACCTGTATCTCTTACCTGATAAGCTAGGGTCAGATGGAAGGGAATGAGGACCTCCTCTAGCAGTGGACTTGGAAAGGGACAGGGAGGGGATGAGGGAAGGAGGGTGGGAATGGGAGAGAATGAGAGAGAGAGCTATGGCTGGGATACAAAGTAAATAATTAATATTAATATTAATATTAATATTAATATGTGATTAATATTAAAAAATAAAGAAATCTGTATCTCCATAGCAAATGTTCTTAGAATCCCAACAAGGTCAAAACATGGTTCTAAGTAACTGCTGAAAAAGAAATATTCCAATCAAGATGCTTATCTACACTAAATGGAGCACTCTTGGCGCTTTGCTTGTTGAACCACTATACAGAAAGGAGTTCTTAAGTAGTTAGATTTCCACAATGTGGCAAGTAATAAGCAGTTATATTCACAAATAAATAAAAACATTTTTATGAACACCTAATTTGTAATCATTCCAGCTCATAATCTTTAACTGAGCATATGGATTTCTAAAGTTAGCCATTATTTTTAGTGAAGAAGTTCGCCTCTCATTGTACTTGACTTAAAAATAATGAAAGTATAAAAGGAAATTATCTAAGGACATTAATGATGGGTTTTTTTCACCTGCAATATAAAAATAATACCAATTATTCACGATTCACATTTGTAAATAAGGATTTAAAATACTTAGAAGATATCTATTTCTAAAGTGAATGGAGGAAGGTAGGGTGGTGTCACCTGCCTTTAACCCCAGCATTCTGGAAGTAGAGACAAGTGAATCTATGAGTGTAAGGTCAGCCTTGATTACATAATAAGTTCTAGGACATCCAGAGCTACACAGTGAGACCCTGTTTCCAAAAGAACTGTTTGTGTGTATGTGTGAGAGAGAGAGAGACAGAGAGAAAACAAAGTCCTATCTATTTTTCCTAATTCTTGTCTGTATTAGCATTGGGAATGACAGAAAAATGACATCTTCATCTGCCTTTTTCTTTTTCTTTTTCTTTTTCTTTCCTTTCCTTTTCTTTTCTTTTCTTTTCTTTTAAGACAAAGTCTCACTCTGTAGGTCTGACTGGCCTGGAACTAACAGAGAAACCACCTGAGTGCTGGAACCAAAGGGGCATGCCACCAGGCCCAGGTATCATATGCCTTCTTGTTAAAGTTTATTTACCAACTTGTCTTTCACTTCTTCCTTCATCATAAAGTGCTTACTGACAAAAACATCCTAGGCATATACCCAAAAGAGGCTCAAGTACACAAAAAGAACATTTGCTCAACCATGTTTGTAGCAGCTTTATTTGTAATAGCCAGAAGCTGGAAACAGCCCAGATGCCCCTCAACTGAAGAATGGATGCAGAAACTGTGGTACATCTATACAATGGAGTATTACTCAGCAATGAAAAATAAAGAAATCATGAAATTTGCAGGTAAATGGTGGGACCTGGAAAGGATCATCCTGAGTGAGTTGTCCCAGAAGCAAAAAGACACACATGGTATATACTCACTCATATAAACATACAACGTAGAATAAACCCACTAAAATCTGTACATCTGAACAAACTAGGCAAAAGAGAGGACCCTAACTAAAATGTTCAATCCCCATCCTGAAAGGCAAAGAGGATGGACATCAGAAGAAAAAGAAAATAGGAAACAACCTCGGAACCTGCTACAGAGGGCCTCTGAAAGCCAGAAGAAAACAGGAAACAACCTTGGAACCTGCCACAGAGGGCCTCTGAAAGCTTCTGCAGTATAGACTGTCAAAGCAGATGCTGAGCCTGATGGCCAACTGATGGGCAGAGTGAATGGAATTCTATGTAAGAAGTGGGAAATAGTAAGAGCTGGAGGGGACGGGAACTCCATAAGGAGAGCAACAGAACAAGATAATTTGAACACAGGGAACTTCCCAGAGACTCATACTCCAACCAAGGACTATTCGTGGAGATAACCTAGAACCCCTGCACAGATGTAGCCCATGGCAGTTCAGTGTCCAAGTGGGTTACATAGTAATGGGAAGAGGGACTGCCTCTGACATAATCTGATTGGCCTGCTCGTTGATCACCTCCCCCTGAGGGGGGAGCAGCCTTACCAGGCCACAGTAGAGGACAATGCAGCCACTTTTGATGAGAACTGATAGACTAAGATCAGAAAGGAGAGGAGAACCTCCCCTATCAGTGGACTTGGGGAGTGGCATGCATGCAGAAAGGGGAGGGAGGGTGGAATCAGGAGGGGAGGGAAGGTGGGATTGGAAGGGGAGGAGGGAGGGGCTTATGGGGGGATACAAAATGAATAAAGTGTAATTAATAAAAAAATTTAAAAAAAAACAGAAACAACTGTGTTCAACGCTATTATAGCTGCTGCTTCTTTGGGTGAATCACAGAACTAGTTTCAATGTCTAGGGTAATTACTTCAAGCTACATTTTACTAAGAAATTTTTTGTAGGTACTATAATAATTCCATGGGCATTCTGACATTTCTATAGACTTCTAGAACATACTAATTCTTATTATGTGCAGTTACAATTATACAACACTACTCTTAATGTGTAGCATTGCAGTGAATCAAATTTCTTTACTTTAAGTATAAGCCCAACTAGAATAAGTACTTTTGTAAGTATTTGCCCCTTTACTTATATGACCTTTTTATTATCTTGTTATTTTGTTTGTTAGTTTGTTGAAACAGTACATATATAGCCCAGACTAACCCTGAACTTGTAAGCCAAGGAAGATCTTGAACCCTGATTCTCCTGCCTCTATTTTCTTTACAATAAAATTGCAGTCTTGTGACATCACACATGAATTCTTTTCTTTTTTTCTTCTTCTCTCATACATTACATCTCCCTCCACTCCTCTCAGCCTTCTCCCCATATCTTCTCTCCCCCAGATCCACTTCTCCATTTCTCTTTTTTAGAGAGAGAGAGCCTTCCAAGGATATCAATCAAACATGGCATAGCAAGCTGCAATAAGACTAGGCACAACCCTCATATCAAGGGTGGAGAAAGCAATACAGTAGGAAAGTGGTCCCCCAAGCAGGTAAAAGAGTCAGAGATAACCCCTGCTCCAGAAGTCCCACAAGAACACCAAACTACACAACCATAATGTATATGCAAAGGACCTAGTTCAGACCCATAAAGAGTCCATGTTTGTTGCTTCAGTCTCTGCAAACTCCTATGAGCCCTGTTTAGTTGATTCTGTGGACTGTGTTCTCCTAATGTCCTTGCCACAGCCCACACCCCTTACAATCCTCCCTCTCCATCTTCTGAGGGTTCCCCTGGCTCCACCCAGTGTTTGCATCTGCTCCCATCAGTTGCTGTAGGAAGCCTCTCTGATGACATTTGAGATAACCTGTGAGTATAGCAGAATATCATTAGGAATCATTTCATTGACTTTCTCTCTCTCTCTCTCTCTCTCTCTCTCTCTCTCTCTCTCTGTGTGTGTGTGTGTGTGTGTGTGTGTGTGTGTGTGCGCGCGCGCGCGCGCGCGCGCGCCAGTCTCTACCTTAGGTCTCTGAGTCATCCAGCTTCTGGTCCCCAGCCATCCAGGCAGTGTCAGGCATGAGCTCCCTCTGGTGGCATGGGCCTCAAGTTAGACCAGTGATTGGTTGGCCATTCTCACAAATTCTGTACCACCATTGCCGCAGCACATCTTGCAGGCAGGACAGGTTGTAGATTGAAGGTTTTGTGGCTGGGTTGATATCCCAGTCCCAATGCTGGGAGCTTGCCTGATTATAGTAGATAGCCAGTCCAAGCTCTGTATTATCCATTACTAGGAGACTTGGCTAGGATCACTCTCATAGATACCAGAAAGTTTCCACTGCGCTAGGGTTTCTACATAATTGCTCCCCAAATGCCCCCAATTTCAATTCTTTCCTAGTATCTTCTTCCTCCATTTCTTCCACACCACTCCTGATCCCTCCTTTTCCCATCCCCACCTGAAAAATCTATTCTATTTCCTCTTCCCAGGGAGATCCATGAGTTCCCCTCTTGAGCTCTCCTTGATAGTTGGCTTCTTTGGGTCTGTAGCTTAGAATTGCATTGCACCCT